ATCTTACACCGTGGCCTCGCCCCAGCGTTCGATTCTGCTGGTATACGCCGCCATCGACGCCTGCGACGCTAGCCTTGGACTATTTTGTTTCGGGCACAAGTTCGCAGAATTAAACGTTAATTTTAAGTTCTATTAAACATGTTTTTTTTGTATTTTTTTTTTTATTCGTGACATTTCGCGTAGAAGGTCCGACGCGTAGAGCATTCGGACCTTGAACAAGCGAGAGGGTTCTCGAATTTACGTGAATATTAAACTGAAAGAATAAATAGATGACGGGTAACTCCCAGGAATCGAAACCTGGGTTTCCGCACAAAACTCAAGCGCGGTAACCACTCGGCCACGCACACGCCCGCTCACCAACGCGCGTGACAATATCTTTAAAGTGTTCTTCCCGAACACCCAGTACGAAATTCTTTCGCAAGCCTACCGACTAAATCTCTCGACTTGATGACAAAATTGTTTGAGCTCCTGTGGGGATATGCTCTCCTTTGCTACGGAAGCTCTCGGACATAATTCTGTAATACCTTTCTTCAGAGGCTTGGACTCTGTGGAATCGTTAATAATGAAATGACTTGTAGTTATGGGTATATAAGCCCAATATACGTGTCCATATCCTTGCTCAGGGCGGATGTTCAGATCTAAAGAAGGCAAACACTTCTCGGCACGATCTAGAACGTAAAGAAAAGCGCCGTTCACGAATCTGTGGAGATATAAGATGACTGCGACACCGAAGCATCAGGATGATATTATTGACGGTGGTAGGGCGCAGCCAGAAAGCTTTCCAAACATTTAATTCAGTCTTTTGCACTTTCGCACTCACATGTGGCCAGGTATATTTGGTGTTTTTTTAAGAGGGTACAATAAATGGAAAAGGAGGACACTGTAATTAACGAAATTATTCCTTCTGGATAAGGTGACGCGATGATAAGACGGTAACGCGATGGGTCTATAATTAAATAAAAGCTTAGCATCTTAAATTTTTTTACTGCGGTTATCTTGTTGAGTCTTGAGTCATACGAAACTATTACACGAAAATCTTAAAATCAATGTAAGTATTAAATTATAAAAAAAATCTATATTTCATGTTTTTGCTGCGCTTTTGTAGCGAAGATCGTTTTCCTTGTGAACGGAGCCACAAGAGAGTTAATAGGCGCGCTGTTCGACACTTCAGCAAAGCATGATCGCGTTGAATTTCCTCGTGTACGTCGGCTGGTGCTCGCGTCGGTGCACATCGCAACTGAAGGAAAACATCGAGCGTCGATTTTGTCTCACGTCTCACGTATATACGTATGAACGTAATACATATTTCTAAATTAGAGCGGAACAAACGTGTGGCTGTGGAAAGATATCGTGACTTGCAAATAATACGTAACTCGGTTTCACACTTTGCATATGTTGACAGCTCAGCTCAGTTTGAGATGTTTAGCCTGCCGACGGCTCCGCGTCCTGCTCGTCAGCTTGCTTTCTGTCGGAATTTAATCTTACTGCAAAGCTGTTTATGGCTAGGGTTCCGTGGATTTTTTGTGTGCGTGACCAAAAATTCGACTCTTGCACAGCTGCACGCGCCGCACGCGCACGCCTTCCCGGTATAAAGATTCGAAGTAAATAACCAAAATAATGCCTTGACGAACGCGCGTGCCAGATGCCATTTGTTTTTAGGCTTTTGCTCAGCACAGTTATTGCTGCAGACGCCGGCACGTGCGCCGCATGGAACACCAATCCCCTGCATTCTCCTTAATGCTCCTGTAATTTTGCAATTGGTCTATTCAGTAGATTAGTTATGAATAGGCACCTTTTTGAGATCCATAGACTGTCAGCAAACGTTACTAGAACACTCAGGAAACTCACTGTTGAAACCTGGCCCGCTGGTGTCCACCGAGACCGAGGTAAATACGATAGAAGCGCCACCCTTAATCTTTTTTTTGTTGTTGTTCTTACAGTGGTCACCTTCAGCTTTCTGAAAGCTTGTTTCTGCTTAAGAACGAACAGAACGAACTCTTTTTGTTGGAACTTTTATCCAAGATAGTACAAAATAACAGGCGCGTGATGTTTTCTGAAATATTTAGTTTACGAGTTTTTTCGGCACAATTAATAATGATTTTATAGAACCATGTCTCACCGGTGATTTTAGGTAGCGCGTCCCCACCAGGGCGATTCCTAATTTCGGAAGTAATTCACGGCGCGTCCGCTTGGGAGGCGGGCGTTGGCATCCCTGAAACCCCTTGCACCGTATATGTTTTGGGCGCCAAAATGGCCGATTAAAGCCAAATTAGAATAGTCATAGCGGACGCTATAGAATGCGATGCTCCCGACCCAATACAAGCTACTGTGAACATCTTCGAGTGGCCGCTGCGGGAAATATGGCGGCGTTGCGATCGCCCTTAGCTCGTTTCTCGAGTACGGATCGGTGCCATGTTTTCAAAGCAGGCTCTATGGCAGATTCAGAACTTTGTGGTTCTAGTAGAGTTGACGCTCAGGTATATATTTCACGTTTCTCAAAGATTTGCGGCTCTGCGACCCGCGTCGACCATGTCTACGCTCGCACCGCCCTCTCTTTGTCGTCGTTCCAAGCCCTTGCGCGCCTAGTTTCCTTTCCTTCCGCCCTCCCGGGGTGGCGGTTCCGTGGCGTGTGTCTACTTTCCGCCGGGTGGCCGTCCCGTCGCCGCGTGTCTCGTTTTTTTTAGTCAATAAAGCCTTGAGACAAGTAATCGAAAGGGATATACAGGCCACCGTCTCTTTTTGAGACGATGGTGTGTATGTCTCTTTAGTTTCCTTGTCTCAAGTTTTTATTCAATAATTATGATCGCACACCAACCCGCCTGTGTTTTGACGCTTATTTCCGTATCTAATGTCCTCCGGCTCCTCGGGGCGGGAGTGTGTCGTGTGCTAAACTGCTTTGCTTGTCATCCACCTTAACAAAGTAGAATGACTCATGATCTTTTCTCTCCTTCTTTTCATCTGTATTTTAGCATTGTACATGTGTCGTGCTGTCTGGGCAGCGCAAGCATCCCATGCTCGCACCCAATGAACTTTTGTAAGTAGCAATTAAATCTATCTCCATCAGCCGAACGTCCCAGATCCGTTTTCTCTTCACCCGCGGGTAGGGGGAAAGCGTTCCGGAATAGAAGCCAACGTATGAATCTCGCTGGAAAAGTCCGGCCAAACAATGCCTTCGACACGCTCTTGTCATCTGATCTGAAGTGTGCAAATTCATAGAGTTCGCACACTCTGATCCTCTTCGACGGGATCGTCATTGCCACGACGCATACCGAGGAACGAAACCCATCACTTTCCCAGTTCGGTGTGCGTCGGAGGATCACCGATTATTTCACGTTAGTGCAGAATTCAGAATGTAAGGCAATGTGGCCATATCGGTGAAACAAAATCCGCGCAGAAAAACAACCGGTGTGATTTCCGCAGCCGCTCACACAGCAAAGCCCTATCACAGCAATGGGCGACGCCAGACCCTTTTGTTTCGCCACCCGGCCGCCCTGAATGCCCTCTGCGTCTGCTCGTGATCGTATGGAGCAAACACAAATGTGCAATGTAACATGAAAAAAAAAAGTTTTGGCACGTGACTCGTGTCATTCGAACACTCCGCGTTTACCATATCTTCTTGATGTTTATACGTTCTTTTGTTTACGTGTTCTTTTTTTTTCAGGATAAGCTTCAAACAAATTATGTGATGCCCTCTCCATGTCTTCTAACCTCCCTGTATTCTCCTGCTACGCTTCCACCTTCTTGGACCTTGGACCAACAAGGCCGCTGGGGATCTATTTGGGACCGAAGGTTGTCGTGGCGTGCAGTGTGTCGCGAATGTAAGGCAAGCGGACGATTTGGGCGAAATATATGTTTTTTTTTTGTTTGCTTGTTTTTTTGTTCCACTTAATATTGTGTGGGCGAAGGCCTGAATTGAGGTGGATGCCACGGCGAGCTTGGGAGGGACGGCAGCAATGAGGGCGTTGAAAGGTGTAATAAAATTCGAACCGAGGCGTCTTTGTTGCAGTGTTTTGTTGTATTGTTCGAACTTTGTCGCAGTGCCTGCGCGGTAAACGGAATGCCGTGTGCATTGTGTGCTTTTATCTAACTGTCACGTCAAATTCAAATTGTTTTTCTACATAAATCAGATGTTTATTTCGCTTACACCGCCTCGGTCTCGTTCCTGTCGCCTCAGAGTAAATCCACCATTATGAAGTGGACATATCCCCCGAGAGATTTACCGATATATTTGAAAACCCCCAAAGACGCAGAGGCTCGACAAGGTTGCCTTATTTTCTATCTAAATACGAACACGAATTTTATAATATTGGGGTTGAATAGAGGTCATACAAGTGAATAATAACATTTATGAACTATTATTCTTCTTAAAAAATATTTTCTTCGAAAAACCCGAAAAATAGTTAGTTTTAAAAACATTGCACTTGCAACTTTCTTAATTTTCGGCATTATTAAGTTAGAATATTGCATAAGATGATGGGCACAACTTAATGATATAAATATATTTATATAGCCCATTTGGGGTTTCCATGCATATGGTAATTATAACTTAAGAAGTTCGCAGATATCAACCTGTCAAATTTAATTAAAAACAGACCTAGAAGGTTTGTGGCTTAGTTTAGTGGCTTTAATAGAACAATAGAACACCTAAATATAATAATATTAGAACACTTTCAGTGTTCGCATAGTCTTGAACAAAATAAAATAACGCAGAGGTAACAGCCATGAGAGAAGACGTCAGTGTACCATGCTGCCCTCGGCAGTAGGGAAAAAGCTAATTTCCATCACGGCCGTTTTTGTGCTCCGTAAGAGGAGAACCAAAAGTTAATTCAACTTGCGTCTTTCGCTTTTCTTCTAGGTGGAACTTTTAACACAACATATATGTTTTTTACAGAAAACATAAAATCTGACTCTTTCTTCCTGCATGATTTGAGATCAAATCACGCATGTATTGATTGCTAGGTCACTCCGAATACTGAAATAATTGCTTTGCTGCCTCTTACAGGTACGCCCTTTATTCCAGGGACGTGAGGATGTAGCCTCTTGCATAAAGCTGTCATGTTCAGTCCCACGCCCGGCAGTTGGCCAGGTGCTTGGAAGGCTTTCTTCGACTTCACTTCGTAACATTCTTCCGTCTGACGTCTGAAAATATTCGAACGTTTATGAGCATCAATGCTAAAAATGAGTGTACACAAACCACATCATGCTTCTGCGTTATAGTCTAACGATTCAAAATAAAATTATTCTAATCTTATTAAAAAAGTCGAAAACAAAATATGCCGAGTACTTTGAAGATAGCTTCGTTTCTTTTTGCCAGTATTTCTGAACCAGGGAGACTCGCAACACGTAATTTTTCTCCCAAATATTTCCGTGAAATGAAGGTTCATTAAAGCATACTCGGTTGCCATTCGTAGGTGTTCGCGCGATTGTTTCTTATAAAAAAATAGTGCGCGTGCAGGCGAGCTAGTGAACATTGATCACAATGAAAAACCTGAGACTGTGCTGTACAAAAATTAAGTAACTCTTGAGTCAAAGGAAAATACAACATAGGAGTAGGAATCTGCATGTACATACGCGGCTATGACGACCCGTCGCCGGATGCAACCATGCGATCGCTTGATAAGGACATGTGATTGTCTAGGTATGCTCGTTGCGCGTATGAAGAAGGCGTAAGAGTTTCCGCTCCCGTCGTTCAGCCAGTGAGGCTGAACGACGAGCATCAGGCTGCAAATCGAGACGGCTTATATTTGGTTCGCATGGTAAGATGGTTACATTTTTATTTTTAATTGATTTCTTATCAGTACACTTAAAAATGCTTATTTGAGTGATGTATGTTGTGATGGCAACCGTGTGGCAGTTTTTTTATACATTTTTCGCAGCGTTAGTGTCTAATAATAAAAAAAAGCCCTATAACAAATTCCTTTTTAAAATGACACCCGTATTCATTGGTTGTGAAATGAAATCTTTTTTTTTTTATTTTCTCTGCGAATCTAATGAATGATATCTGGCGCGCCGTAAGGGATGTTTGAGGAGAAATTTCGACCAACTGGGGATTTTGTGACGCGTTGTTGGCATACCAAAATCGCGTGTAACCGAAATCTCGGTTACACGGTTTTTTTTTTCCGCAGTGAGCCTCTATCAGATTACGGGCACCTCGGCTGGGAATTAAACCAGCCACCTGGAGTACCCAAGACCGGCGCATTGTTTCGGAGCCATCGAGGAGGCAGAGCATTTGAAATAGCTTCAAGGGATATAGATATTTGTTACATGCATTTATATTGACCATCTCGACTTTTGTTTTCCTGCTAAGCCGATTCCCAGCCTCGTTCGCGGATAAACGAAATGTAAACCTTCACTCCTTTGCGTACGACGATTGCAACGTTTTACTGTGTAGCATTTATTGATGTGGCATGCCAAAAACAACTGCTTCGTGGGGATTCCTTTGACCTCTCGTCCCCGATGGCTGTGATAACGGGCGCGGGTCGGAACACTCGACCTCCTTCGCTGTGAGCTCCGACTGGTTCGTGGGATCTCACACTCTTTTCCGGACGCAAATGACTGCTGGCAGAGAAGGAGCTTTCGTCTCTTCTTTTCCCACTTTCGGGAGGGGGACTCGTCCTGCGGCATCGAAAGGGTAAGTGCTCCCTTGCTCTAAATGAACTGTGGCCATATGTGGGCGGGAGATTCTTTTCACCACTTAAGCTATGTTTTTAATTACAGTGCTGTAGAATGAGAAGTTGGCGTTAAGTGATATCTCTATCATAGCGCCGTAAATTCACTCGTGTCTTTCAAAAACGCAAGTATTATAATCTGCTTCACCTTTACGTGCAAATATTATCTACCTCAAAAGTACGTTTCATCGTTGTTAAGTGATATTCATGGACTGATAACTACAGCCTGTAAAACTAATGTTTCATATGATCCGTGTTTACCAGGGTTATCGGAAGAGTGGAATCCCCGTCCTGCACCAACGACGTATACGGAAACCACAGACACTTAAGAACGCAGTAGCAACACCATGGTTACTTTCTGTACTAACTGCACATTGATTGTAGCCTTTTTACATTGATTGTAGCCAATACAGTTTATTTACGGAGCCGATCGAAACTAATTGCATTTTCTATATACCAGAAACGTACTCTTTCCAATATGCTATTTAGTATCTTTAAATTCTAAATAGCTACTGAGAAAATGACAACTAAAGCCGGTGCTAAAACATTAAAAACAATTTTCCGACTCTGAGTGGCGTGAAGTCACTGGTAGCGTGAACTCGCTGTATAGAAACAGAGTATGTTGAGAATAATTGTTCCTACTGCTGAGCAGGTGATGAAGTGAGCTTCCACAGCATTACTTACACAATAATGAATTAGTTTTAATCAGGCGGGAACTATTTCTCCCATCTAGACAGGGCACCGATTCCTGCCATATATTTCACACGTTCAGTGTTGCTAGAAGAGACTTTCAGTTGGAAGCAAAATGTAAGAATCAAAATTAAAAGTTTGATTGCAAACACCTCGCAAAAAAAGTGTTCTGGCGTACCTTTACAGTTACTAGCATCCAAACCTACTGGTTTGTTAAACACATTTTATGTCATATTAAAATAAGAAAACAAATGGTGGACCTGAAGAGATGTCAGCATTAACTATAATAACTTGAACAAAATAGAAGGTAAAGCATTGGACTTAGGTGTCCTTTGTCTTTGCATTTAACACTGCCTTTCCTTTAACAATAATTAATATAAAAGTGAGTCAAATTTTTTTTGATAACCACTTTTTCTCAGCCTCGCGCGTCCCAAACCCTCTATAGGCTGTTGACAGATAAGTTCGGCCGACCATGCCCGGTTATAATTTTGAATTTTGGCAAAATCAACAAATATATATATTTGGTTGATTCAATGCAGAGAAAAACTAAAACAAATTTTGTCTTCCAAAAGAATTGGATTTCATCTCGAAAAAAAAAAAAAAATTAAGCGCGCTCAGACTGGAGCGGTTTTTGCGGATTTGGCAATTTTGCCATTTCGGGCACATCCCCTAAAACAACTCCTGCGGCTACGGATCTAGAAATATTTAATAACAAACTACGCTTAGAGGAAATTGACTCAAATTAATTACCGTGGCATTGTTAGTTAGCAAAATATGATCGCAAACACGGCACAATGCCCAATAATGCGGATGTTTTGTTTTTTCGCATCTATACATGGTAGGATTTTCAAACGCTGCCAGCGTGTTGCCATTTATTTCTTTTAGAGCGCAGCTCTTAGGCGCCCATTTCCGGCTTGAGCGGCGTCGCCATCACGTCGGCGTAACCTCGCGGTGCATTATGGGTAAATGTCCCCGCGAAATCTAGCGGAAAAATTTCCCCGCTAAATCTAGCAGAAAAATTTCCCCGATAAATCTGCCGGAAAAATTTCCTCGCTAGATCTAGCGGACAAATTTCCTTGCTAACTCGAGTTGAAAAAATTCCCCCACAAAGTCTAATGGAAAAACTTCCCCGCTAAATCTAGCGAAAAATTTTCCCCGCTAAATCTAGCGGTAAAATTTCCCCGCGAAACCTTGCGGAAAAATTTCCCCTCTAAATCTAGCGGAAAAACTTCCCCACTAAATCTAGCAGAAACTTTTTCTGCTAAATCTAGCGGAAAAATTTCCCCGCTAAATCTAGCGGAAAAAGTTCCAAGCTAAGCATAGAAGAAAGAATTTCCCCGCTAAATCTAGCGGGAAAAAATCCCCGTAACATCTAGGGGAAAATTTTCCCCGCTGAAGTTAGCGGAAACATTTCCCCGATGTCACGTGACACTCCCCCCCCCCCCCCCCCCCCCAAGGTAAACGTGACACCCCCGAGAACAGGTGACCCTCAGTACCCCTTCTCCTCCTCAAGAGCTGTGCTCTAATTTGGCGTTACAGGGAGTTGTAAACGGCTTCCATTTTTTAATCGCTCGCTAAATATTGGTTTCCTGGTTAACGGTAAGAGAATACAAAACGCTGAAAAGGCGCCATTTTACTAAATCCGGATTATTTTAAAAGTCATATAAATATATTTTTTAACTCTTCTATGATATGTATAAACTAAGAGAACCTTCCAAAGCATGCTGCCTCAGTTGTAATTTTGAAGTTATAAAGTGAGAAATCGGAGCTAACTGAGGCCACCGCTCTACCATGAATAGCGCGTGTACATACCCTTAGTTGCCATGTTAATTATTATTACAGGGCGTAAAGATGCGCCGAGGTTGTCAGGGGGAAACACATTGACGGCACACGTACAGATGGTGATTTCAAAGGGATAATTCTGGTTGCCTTTTAGTACTAGTTTCGAAAAAAAATTGAGCATGGGCCAGAGAGATCCCAAGAGGTTGTCATGTCGCAAACTTCCCAGGACCTGCTTTCAATAGGCAGTGAGTAACGTGCTACTATGTAGATCTCCTGTGTACGTCACGTAACGAAGTCTGGTGGCTTGCTACGACTTTGCACGCGAGTCAGACCACTGACCCGACGAGTCTCTGCCGCGCCCAGGGGATGTCCACCAACACCCGAGACCACCGGCTGCGTGGTGAAATAAACTGCTTTTTTTTCGGGAGTGTTCAAATTTGGAATAACGCTGTGCTATCCGATTTTAAGCGGTATTCCTACACCCCAACTTCTGTTCATTTAGCGCTGACTTTTGACTTTCTATGTTATACTCCCCGCGTATAACACGCGATCGAAGTGATGAGTGCGTTTAAATATCTCCATACATCGTTTGACGAAAGGTCAGAGCGTAGTCGACGGCACGAGTCTACAGGGCGAATTAAACAACGCTAGAAGTGCAATGTCACGCCATTCTTGCCCTTTTTGTGCGATGTCCTTTCCGGCTCAAGTAATCGAGGTCGGCGAGTTCGCATCAACTTACCGGTTAAGTATACGTGTCTGCGGTTTAATGTATTCTAGCTTTTGACTGCGCTCTGACCTTAAAATAAATTAAGTATAGACAGAAGGCGACATTTTGCAAAATCTAGACAGAAAAGAAAAATTCAAGTGGCGTACACATTGTAGTAAAGTTGACATCTGTGCTAGTTGGTAGTCTAACTTATTTAACTATTTAGCGCACAAAGTAGAGAGAAAAACAGGACAAAAAAAGGCGCTCTTTTCTGTCCGGTTCTTCTTCTCTCTACGTTGTGCGCTAAATACCTTAAACAGCGTACACATTGGTTTGGATATTTTTGATCCGCTGCCTTAATGTTTGTGATAGTTTTTGAACTTAGATCTTATTTTTATTTTTAAGCGAATGCCGTTTTAGGACGTAGAAATGAAAAATATTCTCTAAAACATATGCAAATAAGATGAACGTTACTTACCCTAGAAAAACCCTCATGTGTTGCAGAGAACAGTGGGAAAAAAAAGCTTCATTTTTGCCGAGAAGTGAAGGTGCCATGAGATATCCCGACGTCGCCGAACATTGTTCCCATGTCACGTTTGGAACATGGTAGGATGGAATGTCCCCATCGTGAGGCATTCCGAGTCTGTGAACGACAAATGCCGCCGAGTATTGTGAAGTGTGAACAACACAAAATTCACACTTTCACAAGCAGATGCATCACGGGAAAAATCAGTTAGTAAATACATTTCCACATTTCCATTGGACCAAAACATAGACGTTTTATATATTCTAAACATATAGTTATTGCTTTATTCTCATTAAGCATCAAGACTGCTGTTGTTGCGCCGTGGTGCATGGTTAAAATGTTATCTGTGTCACCTTATTTTTTTTTAAAGTTTCGTATATATTTATATCTAAGACATCGATATCAATCACGCACAATTGAAACAAACCTGTTTCACTTGACATTTATCTCATCCCTTTACTGCGTATTGTAATCGTAGATCACACATCGCTTCCGGCCGGTTCCCTTTTCAGTGTTTGTGCGTTTGCGCGTGATTCGCTCGCTTTCCCAAGCTACGATTATGCGCGTGCTGGGCTGAGGAGTTCCCACGCTAGGTTGAGTACTCGTAAATATTGGAATGGTGACAACGTACTAAAGCGGGAGAGCTGGTTCAAGTTGAATGTTTGTTAAACCCCAGACGGAGGCCACAAAAAGGGGACAAACACGAGACGTGTATAGGCCGACGCGCAGTTTCCAAACAAGCCCGCGCGAGTTATGGGTAGTGCGCGTGCGCAGAAACCGAACTCGCGTGAAGTGGAGCGTCTGCACATGCGCCCTGCCAATTGAAGTGCCACCGCAGCGCCGTGACGTCAGAATTGCGCATTGGTGTATGGAGCCTTTTCATGGCAGACGCCGTCAGGCGGTGCTCCAGTCTTTGACGTCCCAGAGAACTTCCGGTTTACAAAAGGATGATCAAAGCCCACCTTAGCACCGCTGCTCGAAATGTCGATGAAGCGTTAAACCGCCAGTTCTCAAAAAAAAATGAAAGCCGTTTACAAATCCCTGTAACGCCGAATTAGAGCGCAGCTCTTGAGGAGGAGGAGGGAAGGGTACTGAGACTCACGTGTTCTCGGGGGGGTCACGTGACCCCATCCCCAAGGTTACGGGGGGGGTCACGTGACCTTGGGAGGTCACGTGACCTCGGGGGCTCACCTGTTCTCGGGGGGTCACGTGACCCCATCCCCAAGGTTACGTGGGGGTCACGTGACCTTGGGAGGTCACGTGACATCGGGGCCTCACGTGTTCTCGGGGGGGGGGGTTCACGTCACCCCATCCCCAAGGTTACGTGGGGTCACGTGACCTTGGGAGGTCACGTGACCTTGCACGGTCACGTGACCCCCCAAAGAAATTTTTCTGCTAGATTTACTGGGGAAATTTTTCCGCTAAATCTAGCGGGGAACTTTTTCCGCTAGATTTAGCGGCGAAAATTTTCCGCTGGATTTGACAAGGAAATTTTTCCGCTAGATATAGCGGAGAAACTTTTCCGCTAAATTTAGCAGGGAAATTTTTTCGCTAAGTTTAGGGGGGAAATTTTTCCGCCAAATTTAGCAGGAAAATTGTTGCGCTAAATTTAACGGGGAAATTTTTTTCTAGCTTTAGCGGGTAATTTTTTCCGCTAAATTTATCCGGGGAATTTTTCCGCTAGATTTAGCTGGAAACTTTTTTCGGTGGATTTAGCAGTGACATTTTTCCCCTAGATTTAGCGGGACAATTTTTCCGCTAGATTTAGCGGGAAAATTTTCCCCTGGACTTAGCGGAGAAATTTCCGCTAGATTTAGCGGGGAAATTTTTTCGCTAAATTACGCGGGGAAATTTTTCAGCTAGATTTAGCGGGAAAATTTTTCCGCTAGATTTAGCGGGGAACTTTTCCACTAAATTTAGCAGGAAAATTTTTTGCTAAATTTAGCAGGAAAATTTTTTGCTAGTTTTAGCGGTGAAACTTTCCGCTAGATTTAATACGAAATTTTTATGCTAGATTTAGCGGAGAATTTTTTCCTCTAGATTTAGCGGGAAAATGTTTCGGCTAGGTTTAGCGGGGATATTTTTCCGCTGGATTTGGGGGGGGGGGGGAATTTACCCATAATGTGCCGGGCGGCTACGCCGACGGCGACGGCGCTCAAGCCGGAAACGGGCGCCTAAAAGCTGCGCTCTAAAGAACGCCAAAAAGAGAAAACGCAGAGGCGTAAGATCTGGTAAAGGTTTTTGAATATTCTTGTACTCCAACTTACGTACTCCGATATGTTAAATTGTACAGTCGAAGGCCCTGGTTAAATATTCTCCGACTTTGTTGTCCGTATAGAAGTTATGCTTCCTTGAAGTGGTAACGTGAGCAAGGTCGACAGGCTTGCAAAAGACGGAGCAACCGGAAGTTCCTTGGCACGTAAGCGCCAGTTTGTGTTTTGTAAACAACCAGAATGGTCTATAGGCATTGACACGGTGAGAATGGTGGTCCCACCACTATTGGCAGATGCATCAACACTCGTGTCAGAGACCACTTTCTCGAAGTAAAATGAGTATCCAGTCGCACTATTCAGCCAATTGTGGACCAGAGCCGCATTTGTTCGAACTATGAGCCGAAGCTATCGGGAAATACAAGGACAGCCTTGGAAGATAAATAATTTAATCCTGCAGGATGGCCGGTGATGATTTGACGTCTGCCTCGCCTTCTCTACGGTTATCCGAGATAGAAATAAACTTTACGTGGCAGGTGTGAAGTATTACCCTAGCTCCTTTTTTCTTAGTTTTTCCTTTTTTTTCGATTTCTACGATTACATGAAGGGATACATCATAGAAAATGGGGACGAAAGCGGAACTTCTTTCACTTAGCAACAGGATAAAATACACAAAATATAGTAATCACCCCTGAAAATTTCAGCTTTCTGGAAGGGGGAACGAAAGGCAATTGGTGAAAGAAAGTGAAATTTACTTTAAACTTAAGAGCTTTAAAAAGCACAAGTATCACGACGAGGTATTAGTAATCTGACCATTTTTGCTTTTAAGAGTTCGACGTTTGTGTCTCAGTGATAATAAAGGTGTAGAAATATTCTTGTTGACATTCCCCAGTTCTGTCTTTTTCCCCGTTCTCTCTGTTTTTATCCTTTCGAGTATTCGCATCAAATTCACCAACGTATTTCTACATCTTCTTCCGTTCTGATTCCTTTTCATTTTCTTTCGATAACTGAGCAGTTCGCTTACATTCTTATTTTTCTCTTCTGCCTTAACAGACTCTTATTTCTCCCGGGTCTCTTCTTTTTCTGAAGGATATTTTTTCCGTTTCCGAAGAGTTTCATGGGCAGGGAAGGGAAGGACTTACGGCCATGATGGTTCAATCGTTATATGTCTGTTGCTTCCTTAAAGAACCCTACTGTTCGTCCTCGTTCCTACAAGTTTTATTCTTCAGTGTTTTTTTCAAATCATCTTTATCAACCCGCTCTAAGTTAATTTTCATTTTGACGTTTCGTTTCGATTGTCTTCCATGATGTGCCTTTAGCTGGCTCATATAGGACATTTTGTTTTGGCTAACATTTTCATTTTGCGATATTTTGGTTCAATATATTGTAAATGTTATAATTTATACATATTTATATACACTTTTGAAATATTCCATGTTCAATAGTTGTATTAGATAAAAATGATTGTCTTGACCTATTTATAATTGCTAAGTCCAGAGATATAACTACATTATCTTTATATTTTATTCATAGGAGTGTGTCTTATTGCAATATCGACTATGAGACTCACTGGTGCATAAAATTCGTCCGATACGGAAGTTTCTACATACCGTTTCAATTAACCTAAAGGTGGGTTCTGCAGTACTCAATTTCATATAGTAAACAAGTATATAAACAATTAATATAAAAATACCACTTTTTATTCTTAGTTAATAATTGTCTTTATGCATCATTCAGAAAACTCTGCTTTTAAGAATGCTTTACCAGTGAACAGAACTCTAACATAATATTTGCAAAAAGACTTACATGTGTCCCATTTCGTGAGCAGCAGCAGAAACCATGGAGTATGTATGAGCGACATCTTCCACTATACCGAAACGCGATTGTTCTTTGCAGAGTCCGCCAAGGAATGCGCGACCTAAGCGAAAAAGAAAAAAAAAAAAAGAGAGAAGAAAACGCAGGTTTGTTTAAGTTTTCTGCCAAGTCTACGAGACCAAGCATATTTCAGCGACCATCTTAGTGACATATAAGAAGAAATTAACGGTGTTTTCTTTTAAAATTTGCAGATTTCTTTAAAACAAACTGTGAAAGCTACATTTCCGCTGTATGCGCAGGTGAGTTATGCCAAGGGGACATAGTAAGGGGGGAGGAGGCTAATCGTAACAATCAGTCGTGTAACTAAGTATAATTTGGTATTTAACTTTTTAAAGCGTGAAATTAGACATAAGGCTCCAAACAGAAACTTGCTGACAACATCGGAAACCGCTAAATCAACTCTTTTTAGAAAGAAAAAAGACAGGGGCAGCGTTTTACGGCGTTTTGAAAAATCACCTAACATGAATGCGTTTCTAGATCCGGGTTTTTTATCTGAGCGCATCTTTACGACCGCGGTCCTGCTCCCCAGTGGTCGCGGCGCCAAGCCACCCGCTCGCCTCCCTCGTAAGATGCAGGGAAGTTGTGCGCACGTGGTGCGTCGCAGTCACTCGAGTGCAGGAACGCGGGCGCAGACATGCGCTTCAATAAGAAATCAAAACCTAGAAATGTGTGCAAATGGGGCGTTTTTATGGAACGCCATAATATGCTTCCCCTGCGTTATACCCTTCTATAAAGAGTTGATTTAGTTGTTTGCGATGATGCTCAGGACGTTTCTAAGTAAAGCCTTAATAAAATGTCCTAATTAAATAACGTGATTAACAAATCTTGCGTAACTCACCGACTGATCGCTACGATTTGCCCCCTATACTGTGTTCCCCTAGCCGTATTACTCACCTGCACAAACCGCATGTGTAGGCTTTGCGGTTATTTCCAAAACAAATCTGTAAAGCTTAAAGAGCACTTCGTGATAAGGACACGTTGAACCGTGTCCATTTGATGTTTTTTGGGGGATCGTAATCTTTGACTGCTTGCGAAGAAGAAAACTAAAACAGTGGCGTCAACTGAAAGGCCTGGGTTGCGGCATTAAATTGACACTTTCTGGACACTACTCGACGGCTATTCAAATAAGAAATTGCGGTTAAACTTGCAGTAACGTGCAACTGACGTTGTCTTAAGGCTGGTTCTCACATTTCCGTAAAGTTGTTATCTAATGCGTTGACTCATTTTGTTCCACGGTACGCGCTGGCACGGATTTGATACTAGGTTGGGCCAGTTTTGCAAGTAACACTTGAACAGTTACAATCGTGCAACCAAAATCTCAGTTACACTACACCTTCACAATTAGCCTCCTCCAGATTACGCTGCGCACCTCGACCAGAATTCAAACCCGCCTATGAATTGTTCTTTTTTTTTTTTTTACTAAAATACCAAACACTTTAAATGATAGTTATTTTCGCATCAAACAACGCGCACATGAAGTTTTTTTTTTTTTCTTCAAGAAGTTCAAGGCTGCCCAAACGGTGTACCTATTTAGGTTTGCAAAATAAGGCCGCTTAAAGACTTATTACACTTCCTGTAGTTTCAGTAAAATGCAGCTTTTCGGGAAGCGCATCTACTTCAGCATTAGGTACGGCCATCTAATAAGAAATACGGCATGTAGGCCCAGGATTATGAAATAATCAATAAAAATTTCAACGTGTTTTCCTTCAGGAAAGAACATAATTCCGTGTGGTGTCATCGGGAGGTTGTTTGGTTAGCAGTTTGCTTGAGGACACCCCAGAAAAAAAGAAATGCGTGCCTGCATTATAAATATATGCGTTTCAAGGCTTAATGTGTCTTGCATAAAAAGACAGTGGACACCCCACGGCGTTCATATATTTCGCCTATAAAGGAAGTTTTCACAGAAAATATACCCGTGCGAGGTTTAAAAAAAGAGGTACCTATAGGAAATGGAATTGACATATTTTTAACACGCAATATGACGTCATGCCCTAAGCCCACATGCAACGCTGGACGGTACCCCGGGAAACGATACACGGTTTCAATAAGGTCTCGAGATAACCACTTTTATTTGGCGCTTGACAAATACACCAAACAAACGCACAGACAAAAAAAAATGCATCAATTAATTCGCGAAGAAGGATACCCATCCTGCTTTGCTTACGGCAGCACGAAGAAACAACGAATGAAAACATCTCTACTGGCAACCTGGTCTGGATTACAGCGCGCAGAAAGGGGATTGTTTCATCAAATTAATCATAATAATGTTGAGTATGTTTATGCAGGACGCTACAAGCAGTACCGCGCCAAAATATTGAGAAATTGCACCTTCTCCATTTTTCTGGACAACAGTGGGCCACTAAACATTTGCTCCTCTACTGCACAGCAACGGAACTCCCAAATATTCAGTTTGCGTTGGCGTAAAAGTGATACCATTTCAAATATTAGGTTCCATAGCCCGCGTGCTATGGGAAAGAAGTGCTCTTCCCTTTTGAGAGCCGCACTTAATAGCTCATAAAATGATTTTAGTTCCCTCGCCACTTCTGAAATGCCTGCGTAATCCTTACAAAATAAGTCCTCGGCGTCTGAATGCGAGACCACTTTGATCTCTCTCTTCTCTGGAGCTTGGATCCGTCTATATATCGTTCTTAAGAGCATTTTTACAAAAGGCCTCTTAGTAAACTCGAAACAATAGAGGCCTTGTTTCACGGCAGACAATACACTACTGCGCGTTGTTGTACGTTGGTTAATCTTGGTGGTACATCCGCTCTCTGGTACTTGAATAAAAAACATGATCAATTCGCCCACGTTTACACGTTTTAATAATTCATACGACACACAGTGTTGTACGTGCTTGAAGGGGAGATTGACGACAGTGTTGCAAGCGATTAAATGTTTTGTTCTATACAATCCACCGTGCGTACGATGTTCTTACTCTATAAGTTGTCTTTTGCAAATTATCCGCATGCTTGTGCTTGACCAGGGTCAAAGGCCCTGAGAACAAGTCAAGCTGCCTAGGGCAGCTTTTTTTTTTTCTTTTTGGGTCGCTCATTTCGATTGATGTAAATAAATAAAGTTATTGTTAAAGTGATTATTAAAGTTAAAGGTCTGAAGTAATTCCCACCTGATCCAGATACTCTTCACACAAATCTAATATACATTTTGCGAAGTAAATGTTTGTTACAGTACATCTTCCTTTATTGCATCAGGTCTGGTGCTCTCAGACTGTTTCACAAATAACTTCCTGTAATATTCTGGCGAGAAGTTGAATCAATTCTTTATGATCCATTTTACTGGCCCCTATTGGTCAAGCCGAATGAACCACATCTGCAAGACAACCGTTCCGCTGTAACTTCGCTCGGCCCGGCTGCACAGGGCAACCAAACGGCTCCGATGGCTTCATTACCGTTCAACGCAAGCGCAGGCCTCAGCCTTCTGTGGGAACTGGCGCAAACATTAAGCTGTCTGCCGCTCCTAGGCCTCCTAGGCGTCGAGCACTCTTTGTTTCGCGTCTGCATCCGTCGACTACATGTGACGACGTTGCTGACATCGTGAACAGTGCAGTTCGTTCACAGTTCTGTGTTTGTACCAAGTTAACCACGAAGCACGAGAGCTACTCTTCCTTTCATGTATCAGTAGGTGAAAATGATTGCGATAAGATTCTAAATGCTGAGTTGTGGCCCGCGGGCTCGTTGTTCAGGCCATTTATTGGCATTCTAAAACCGAGCAGTGACACCCCAGGCCGTGATAGTATGCCTCCGCAGTCAAATGGAGCATCCTCCCCTTTAGGCTCCTAAATTTGAATGCTCGTAGTCTGCTAAACAAAGCAACGGCGCTAGGGGCCGTTTTTCTGACATATGAACCAGAAGTGGTCGTCGTCACAAAGACTTGGCTTAATGAGCAAGTGACGAATGATGAGGTGTTTCCTGCTGGTTACAAAATTCTTCGAAAAGATCGTTGTTCGAGTGGCGGGGGTGTGGCTATCGCTGTGAAAGATAGCATATCGTGCTCTATTGTGAGCTGTACTTTCGATGCTGAAATGATTTGGGTAAAACTTCTTTTTTTAACGACGTCAATCTTTGTAGGTGCTTTTTATCGGCCGCCTCATGCCGACGTTTCACACCTGTTGGCACTACAAGACTTTATATCTGCATCTTACCATCGTTACACCCATGTTATACTAGCGGGTGACTTTAATTTACCACATATTGATTGGGATCATATGCGACCACTGCGGGAGTGTCAGCACTCTCATTTGTTGGTTGACATTGCTTTTTCATGCAATATGACTCAAGTCGTTCGTAGTTCGGCACGTGTTACTAATGCCAGTGAAAGCCTTCTCGACATGGTTTTTGTTTCCTCTAAGATTGCACGACAAGGTGCCCAGTGCGAAATAGTCGAAGGTATCTCTGATCACTCTTTAGTAGTATGCACTCTAACGTTGGCTTGTCGGTCATCAACTACTATCGACATTAAGCGGTACCGTGACTTTAACAATGCGGATGATGTCCATATTTTAGACGTTCTGCCAGGAAAGTTGTTCGCTTTTTTATGATATGTATGATCCTATTACAAGTACTACCAATGAATTGTGTTTACGGTTTAGGGGTATAGTTCAGCACTGCATTCAGAAGTTTGTTCCATTGCGTATTAGGAGAGTGAAAAAGTTTAACCCATGGACTACACGTGACATTCTACATTTGAAGCGTAAAATACGGCGAGTTCGTAAATGTGGCAACGGGAATAACATTTCGTCTTTACCGTTTTTGCGCAGACAGATGAGGTCGTCTGTTAAAAATGCTAAACACCGTTTTTGTAACGTCACCTTGCATAACTATCTGCTAAGGGATTCCCGAAAGCTTTGGAGGTTTTTGAAACGAAAGAAATGTTCTTTCTCGGACATGAGACTGTGCAATATCCTAACAAATAACAAGCAGTCAATTTCAAATGCTTTCAACGAGTACTTCACGTCTATATTTACTGTGGAAACGGGAATAGTTCCAAGTTATGAGAGTTCTAGAATAGTGATTCCGGACCTCAGCA